CGTTTTCGGGGCCTACATTCATAAATGGATAAACGTACGGCGCGTTTTAGTCGAATTGGCCAAAAATACGCCCTATCAAGGAAAGTTAATTGCCCCAAAGTGGCGCGCCCATTCATTTTATCATCTTTTTAGAGGCATATAATTTTAATGGACCCATATTTGAAAATCAATTCCAACTGAGCAAAGGAATATACAGAAAATTACATGTCAAAATTGTCTTCAATAAAGATTAGTTTCAATTTGGCTTAACATAGAAAACGTGAAATATTTTCGATAAATTGTAAAAAAATTGAAATTTTATTAGTTATTCACCCCACATAATTTATGGCATTACTAGAAGAACCATTTTACTACTTAACATCGGTCTATGTTTTATGCAAATTTATCCATAATGTCCCAACATGTAAGTTTTAAAATGCCAGCGTTCCGAATTAAGTTAATCTATTTTAAAGCAAACTTTTGTATTTTTGGGCATTAAACGCAAAATGTACGCGTTTTTTCTTGTAACTTGTTTGTATCGTGGAAAATTTTTAAACGTATTTTTCAAAGTAAAAATTTCGACAATTTTTTGCTAATTTACTACAACATTAAAAATGTTGAGGGTTACAAGTTTGATCAGTTGATCGACTTGCCCGAATAAAAATTAGTATTTTTTGGTCTTTGCCTTAAAGAAAGGGCGTTTTTACTAAATTATGTGTAAAAATATTGGAGAAAAAGTATTATGAAACACAAGCCATGCTTCCAATAGCTCCAGTAGCCAATAGATTATTAAATTTATCGTTTTCACTAAATGTAAAAACTATTTTTATCAGATACAGACACTCAGGTTAACTTGCGGAAAACCTAAGAATTTTTGGAAGAGTTTTTTTTTGTAAATTTATAATATAGTTTTTTTTTTATTATTGTAAATACTTTTTTCAGCTTTATTATAGGTACTTTCTTAAATCCAGTGTATCTACAAATCTACTATAAATCCTTAATTGAGCTTATTAAGGTCGGAGCTCATTTATTCTTTCGAGCTTTTCCAGTATTTCCAGTTTGACTGTTAAAATTACATACGTACGCTACACTGATATAAACCACTCAATTTCTCAATAGTTTTTCATTTGTCGCCACTGAAAGTATATTTAGATACGTCCACCTACCAGGCGCACACTGTTTTATCAAATCACTTTTAATTCGTCCGGTTCGTCTTTTCAGTCTCAATTATTTTTCTGTTTGGCGCATTGATCTTTTTCTACAATTTCCATGTTTTCTTGTAAAATCCTGCAGCATTCACAGTTTTTTTGCTAGACAATAATATATTTTTGTTCCTTTGTACTAACGAAAAAGTTAATTTTTTAACTTGCTTTTCTACTAACTCAGCTTGTCATCATATATTGAACAAATAAAGTCTTTCACCTTGATTATTAACCAAATGTTCAATACCAGAACATTCAAGTGTTAGCAGTTACATGTGAATAATTTAGAAAAAATCGGAGTAAATTTACTTCAGTAGGACTCACTTTTCTTCTACTTCCTAACACGCCCTTTTAAGAGCAGTAGATTACATATTATTATTGTCACAATTTGAACAATCGCCGGCTTTTTTTGTGGTCATGCCGTCATTATCCGGTTCGGTTGGTCAACGGTCACTTCTGAAGATGATAGTCATGCGTGCTGGCGAAGCATCATCACTAAATTCTAATCAGCGACGTTCAAAAATCACCTATAGTACGTTAAGTAAAAACGAAACCTTCAATAAATGTCTTATACATTTTTAAAGATTAACGATTGAAATTATAATGAAAACTATTTTACATTTAATTTCTAAACATGTGGGGCTTGAATTAATTATTGATGATGCCATTGTGAAAACCATTTAAAATAAGTATTTTTSCTCATTAAKCACCTAGTAGGAATGGAATGTGTTAAGGAAAAATTACACTTTTCCTATCTTTATTCACCCAGTTTGATTCAAACATATAAAATTCCATATAATATGTTATAGCTCTCGTTGTGTAGATGGCGATGGAAACAGAATTTCCAGGCTGTCTGTATCTACTTTCCAGATACAAACTCGATTTTCTATGCCATTTTATCTAGAAAATTTCCATTCGCCATTTTTTTTTAATGTTCGTTAAACTGCCAAAGTTGTAGCTGAAATAGGAAAGCACATATTCATGTGTAAAATATCATAAATACCTATAATTTTTGGGGGGGAGTTTGAAGTTCGACTGAAAGGATTTGATTTTTTTGATAAGGATGATTTGGTTTCCACTATTTCTCTAATTTAAATTGATACTGTTACTTAGCTTCCAGACTATTTTCTATTGAGCCATTAAGCATATACAGAAATGACCGTTAATTAGTAGGTAAGCTGGAACCTTGAAGAACCTTAGAAATTAATAGAAACCTATTTCAAATGGAAAGTAATAATGTGTCAATAGATAAATTGGACTAATTGAAAATATTAGATTGGTTTGATTCTCATACCCTTTATTAATAATTTGTTTTAAAATTTTCTCCGTTATATTTAATTGCTTTAATCGTCGCAGTTTGAGATCATTTTACAAATGTTTGGGATTTAGTTAAACATTTGTAAAATTTTTATAGGTACATAATGGAATTGCACATGGTTTAACATTTTTCGGTGATTTTTATCTGAAAAACACGCTACATTTTTTAAATGTTTGTATTTGGTCGTTTTTCTTGTTAGATTTTCCACATATTAATTTAATTTGAATTGCGCTTTTACCAGTATGCACCGAGCCTGATAATGATGGGCAGAAGTAAACATTAGTAAAATGAAAATAGAATCGTCAAACAACAAAAAATATGATATTTGATTCAGACTACAAAAAGATTACTAGTTAAAAGGGACAAACTTTTAATATAAATAACTATAACAGATTAGTATATATTACAATGTACAAAAAACTGTATATTATTCCTTTTTATACTTTATTCTT